TATATATATTTAATGTGTATTCATTTTTGAGAGAGAGAGAGAGAAGACAGCACAAGCAGGGGAGGGACAGAGAGAAAGTGAGACACAGAATCCGAAGCAGGCTTCAGGTTCTGATCTGTCAGCACAGAGCCTTGACATGGGGCTTGAACCCACGAACTGCGAGATCATGACCTGAGCTGGATGAAGTAGGAGGCTTAACCAAGTGAACCACCCAGGTGCCCCATAAAATAAAATTATATTTTGAAGTCATAAGATGTAGAGGTGAGGAGCAAGGATTCTGGATCCTGAGGATCCAGAAGGATTCTTCCTGAGTCTGAATCCCAGAATTGCCACCTACTGACCGTGGGAATGTGCAAGAGCCCTGTCTCACATTCCTTATTGGGATGACAGTAGCAATACATGTCTCAGAGGATTGCTGTGAAGATAAACACATAACACACATTGTGCTTAGAATACAGAAAACACTATTTAAATAGCCACTATTATTGTACAACCTAAGTGTTACTCAATGGTTATGTTATTGAAGTATAATACATTTGCAGAAAAGCACTCATAAGTGTTCAGGTTACTGAAATTTCATAAGCTGAACGATCCTGTGTAACCAACACATAAGTCATGAAACAGAAACCAGTACCTGAAGAGTCCTTTTCATGCCCACTTCTGGTAACTACCCCTCTCCAACGGGAACAAATAACCTGACTTTGGATTAGTATCCTTAATGACCATCTGTTAAAGCCTTGATATTGGAGCAGTTGGTAGGTACTTATTGTAATAGCATTTCACTTTTTATTTAATATCTAAGACAAACTTTTTTTGCTGATGAATCTTTTAATATGTATAAGAATAAATATATATGACATATGTATAATATAATAACAAACTATAATATCTTAATATATTTTGTTTCCTAGGTTGAAAAAGCTCCTTGAACAAGAAAAGGCTTACCAGGCCCGAAAAGAAAAGGAAAATGCTAAGCGACTCAATAAACTAAGAGATGAGCTTGTGAAACTCAAGTCCTTTGCACTCATGCTGGTGGATGAAAGGCAAATGCATATTGAACAACTTGGCCTGCAAAGCCAGAAAGTACAGGATCTTACTCAGAAACTGAGGGAAGAAGAAGAAAAGCTCAAAGCCCTTACTTCCAAATCCAAAGAAGACAGGCAGAAACTGCTCAAGTTGGAAGTGGATTTTGAACACAAGGCTTCGAGGTTTTCTCAAGAGCATGAAGAGATGAATGCTAAATTGGCTAATCAAGAGTCTCACAACAGGCAACTTAGACTCAAGCTGGTTGGCTTGACTCAGAGAATTGAGGAACTGGAAGAGACCAACAAAAACCTTCAAAAGGCAGAGGAAGAACTTCAGGAATTAAGAGATAAAATTGCCAAAGGGGAATGTGGCAACTCCAGCCTTATGGCTGAAGTGGAAAATCTCCGGAAGCGCGTGTTAGAAATGGAGGGTAAAGATGAGGAGATCACTAAAACTGAATCCCAGTGCAGGGAATTGCGGAAGAAGCTGCAAGAGGAAGAACACCACAGTCGGGAACTCAAACTTGAAGTCGAGAAGTTGCAGAAGAGAATGTCTGAACTGGAGAAATTGGAGGAAGCATTTAGCAAGAGTAAATCTGAGTGTACCCAGCTACATCTAAACCTGGAGAAAGAAAAGAACTTAACCAAAGACCTGCTAAATGAGCTGGAGGTGGTCAAGAGTCGAGTTAAAGAACTGGAATGTTCTGAAAGTCGATTGGAAAAGGCTGAATTAAGTCTAAAAGATGACCTTACAAAGTTGAAGTCATTTACTGTGATGCTGGTTGATGAAAGGAAAAATATGATGGAAAAAATAAAGCAAGAAGAGAGAAAAGTGGATGGACTCAATAAAAATTTTAAGGTGGAACAAGGAAAGGTTATGGATGTAACTGAAAAACTAATTGAAGAAAGTAAGAAGCTTTTAAAACTGAAATCTGAAATGGAGGAAAAGGTGTACAACTTGACAAAAGAAAGAGATGAGTTAATAGGTAAACTGAAAAGCGAAGAAGAAAAATCCTCTGAATTGAGCTGCAGTGTTGACTTATTAAAGAAGAGACTTGATGGAATAGAGGAAGTGGAAAGGGAAATAACAAGAGGAAGGTCTCGAAAAGGATCTGAGCTCACCTGCCCAGAAGATAACAAGATTAAGGAACTAACACTTGAAATTGAGAGACTGAAGAAACGCCTCCAACAATTGGAGGTGGTTGAGGGGGATCTGATGAAGACGGAGGATGAGTATGATCAGTTAGAGCAGAAATTTAGAACTGAGCAGGACAAGGCTAATTTCCTCTCTCAACAATTGGAGGAGATAAAGCACCAAATTGCCAAAAATAAAGCAATCGAGAAAGGTGAGGCTGTGAGTCAGGAAGCAGAGCTGAGACACAGATTTCGGTTAGAAGAAGCTAAAAGTCGAGACTTAAAAGCCGAAGTACAAGCTCTTAAAGAGAAGATCCATGAATTAATGAACAAAGAAGATCAACTTTCTCAACTTCAAGTGGATTATTCTGTCCTTCAACAAAGATTTATGGAAGAAGAAAATAAGAACAAAAACATGGGGCAGGAGGTCCTCAATCTGACCAAAGAGTTGGAGCTTTCAAAGCGTTATAGCCGAGCTCTTCGACCCAGTATGAATGGGAGAAGAATGGTGGATATTCCTGTGACGTCAACTGGAGTGCAGACTGACGCGGTGAGCAGTGAGGCGGCAGAGGAGGAAACACCAGCAGTATTTATACGGAAATCCTTTCAAGAAGAAAATCACATCATGAGCAATCTTCGACAGGTAGGATTGAAAAAACCTATGGAACGATCCTCTGTTCTAGATAGGTATCCTCCAGCAGCAAATGAGCTCACTATGAGAAAGTCTTGGATTCCATGGATGAGAAAAAGGGAAAATGGGCCCCCAATCACTCAGGAAAAAGGGCCTCGAACAAATCCCAGTCCAGGGCACCCAGGAGAACTGGTCCTTTCACCAAAGCAAGGCCAGCCTCTGCATATTCGAGTGACACCAGACCATGAGAATAGTACTGCAACTTTGGAAATAACAAGCCCAACATCTGAAGAATTTTTTTCTAGTACCACTGTCATTCCTACCTTAGGGAATCAGAAACCAAGGATAACCATTATTCCATCACCAAATGTCATGTCTCAAAAACCAAAAAGTGGAGATGCTACTCTTGGCACAGAACGAGCCATGTCCCCGGTCACGATTACTACATTTTCTAGAGAGAAGACCCCAGAAAGTGGAAGAGGTATGTTTGCAGACAGGCCCACATCCCCCATTCAGATAATGACAGTGTCTACATCAGCAGCACCAGCTGAGATTGGAGTCTCTCCTGAATCCCAGGAAATGCCCATGGGAAGGACTGTCCTCAAAGTCACCCCAGAAAAACAGACTGTTCCAACTCCACTACGGAAATATAACTCCAATGCCAATATCATAACCACGGAAGACAATAAAATTCACATTCATTTAGGTTCTCAGTTTAAACGATCCCCTGGGACTTCAGCTGAAGGAGCAAGTCCAGTTATTACTGTCCGACCTGTCAACGTGACAGCTGAAAAGGAGGTTTCCACAGGCACCGTCCTTCGCTCCCCTAGGAACCATCTCTCATCGAGACCTGGTGCGAGCAAAGTGACGAGCACTATCACCATAACACCGGTCACAACCTCATCTACTCGAGGAACCCAGTCAGTGGTGAGTAGAAGAGGCTCCAGAGTGGAGGCTGAGGGAGGGAGAAGTGACTTGTGAGAATCACCCAGTGCCCAAAGTACAACAAAAGCACATGCCTCTCGCTCTACCTGAGCCCACTAGCAGATGTTTCCTAGAGGACCAGCTACACCAAGACATGAAAATAAAAAGTGGCCTAGTGTTTTAATAAATTGAACTCATTTTGAGGGAAAATTTCTTTTTTTTATGTAAAGTATGAAGACCCCCCAAATTCTTGCAAATATGGCCTCTTTATAATGTCAGCATACGATAATAATCAGGTTTAAAGTTTAGTTTTTTGTTTAAAATACTTTTAAAAATGGAGACTGAGAGAAATGGTCAATATGCAGGAAGAATTAAAACTGCCTCCTGGGTTATATTTCTATAACCTAAAATATTCAATATGTGGTTATGTATGGCCATAGTCACATTTTTTTCCAAAAATAAGATTAAAAGTTCTTAATATTAACTTTTTTAAAAGTAAAAAAATGGGTTTATATGTCTAAGCACTATATTTTATTAATAGTATCTTTCAGAGAGCAGATGCTTGATAAACATTTATTTAATAACTAGAAGGCTAAATGAGTGATTATGAAAAAGCATGTCTCAGATATAAAAACCAGAGCTTAAAAATAAATTCTGTTTTTAGAAATACTTCCAGTGATTGTCTTCATTTACTTGGGACAAATTAGTAAATTAAATTATAGAAGAACATGTACTGTTTAGATTTTAATTTAAACCAATAAACTAGAAATTATTATTCCTAGATTCTGAACAAATTCTGTCCCATGTATTAGAAACTCTTAGGAAAGACAGGAAGCTTATTATTTAAGTATAGAAACTGTGGCGTATTGTCCCATATCCTCAATTAAATTTACTTTAATTTTCTGTGTACCAACACAGATTCAAGACAGACTTCAAAGTGTGAATTACTAATTGCTTTGTTGGTAAAGCTTTTCATTACTGGCTCTATAGGAGCCAAATAGCATTCAGAATTGCTCACACTTCTTGAATGGTTCAATATAATATTGCTTTTTAAGCAACACAGAGCATAGTTTGCTTGTGCATGGTCACTTCTCTCTAATAATTTTTATAAAAAGATAGTGGAGGTTTAAGTTGTAGCTCAGAGCAGATTTTCTGCTGAAACATCTTAGTACCATTTTAAGGGTCAGATCAAAATAGCTTTACTTTCTTTAGCAACATTGTTGGCTACTGATTAAACCCATATACAAACAAGATTTCAAAACAACTGTTTAGGATTTATAGACCTAAAGGATGGCCCACTTAATTCAGATATGTCAGATTCCATAAAATCAAGGATAACAAAAAGTTTGGGACGCCTGTCTTAGAAATAGAATAGTGAGACTAGTTCATTTGTGCATGTATTTATTCAACATTTATAGGGTGTTTAGCTACACTCTGGGCACTGGGTTTGGTGCCCAACTGCAAAGAGGACCTTTAGAAGTTCCTAGCTTAGTGGGAAAGGCAGGATTGGAACCTACCTAGTGGTTCTATGATAGAGGTATGTACAAAGGAACCCAGAGAAGACTTCCTGGAAGAGGAAGTTTTCACAGATAAGGAGAAATTTTTTTTTTTTTTAATTTTTTTTCAACGTTTATTTATTTTTGGGACAGAGAGAGACAGAGCATGAACGGGGGAGGGGCAGAGAGAGGGAGACACAGAATCGGAAACAGGCTCCAGGTTCTGAGCCATCAGCCCAGAGCCTGACGCGGGGCTCGAACTCATGGACCGCGAGATCGTGACCTGGCTGAAGTCGGACGCTTAACCGACTGCGCCACCCAGGCGCCCCGAGGAGAAATTTTTTAAGAAGGAAAAGGGAAAGAGTATGTAGAGAGAACAGCCTGTGCAAAAGTGTGGCTCTGTGAAGAAGCCTGACATGTTCCAGGAAAGGTGACCATTCCCATTGTACTGCAGCAGTTGGGTGTAGGGACATAATGCAAGAACAGAAAATACAGAGGCAAACTGGAGTCAGATACTGAAGAGAGGTATGTGGCTTATTATGAAATTGACATTTGATCTCATAGAGTAGACAAAGGGAGCCATTGAAAGGGTATTGATGATTAAAAAAAAAAATACATTACTTATGTTTTAGAAACATGTCTATAAAACAATTTATTTTTTATTTTTTTTTTAATTTTTTTTTTCAACGTTTATTTATTTTTGGGACAGAGAGAGACAGAGCATGAACGGGGGAGGGGCAGAGAGAGAGGGAGACACAGAATCGGAAACAGGCTCCAGGCTCTGAGTCATCAGCCCAGAGCCCGACGCGGGGCTCGACGCGGGGCTCGAACTCATGGACCGTGAGATCGTGACCTGGCTGAAGTCGGTCGCTTAACCGACTGCGCCACCCAGGCGCCCCAAAACAATTTAAAGATAAATTGGAAGGGACAAAGACTGAGGACAGGGATACTGTTGCAATCTTCCAGGCTAGAGACGGTGTAGGCTTGAACTGTGGTAGTGAAAATGAGGACAGAGATATCTTAAAGATAGGATCGAAGATTTTGTGACAAACTGAGTATAGAGGGTGGCTCTGAAGTTTCTGGTGTGGCTCTATGGGTAGATAGGATGAAAAACATAGGAAGCTACTCTTTGGGGACAAGATAAGTCATGTTTGGGGCATTGATATTTGAGATGCCTGCAAGACAGTGGAAATGTCTGGCAAGTGGGAAATATAGATGTGTATTCCAGAAGATCATTGAAGGGACTGGAGCTCATCAACACATGGGGTAACAAATGAGGTGATTCTCAGGGTAAATGTGAAAAATTAAAAGAGAGCTGAGAATGGAGCATGGTGACACCCACGTTTAGAAGAAAGGCAAGCTATGACAAGGAGCCAACCAGAGATTGAATAGGAGTCATCAGACAAGAGGTGAATGTGTGAGACTCCAGGAAGAAGGTATCACGGGCAAGAGAGTTTTAAAAGAACTTCAAAAAGAAGGGTATGGCCAGCAGTAACCGTAAAAAAATGAAAAGAGGGGCACCTGGGTGGCTCTGTCTGTTGAGCGTCTGACTCTCGGTTTTGGCTCAGGTCATGATCACAGGGTCATGGGACTGAGCTCCACGTTGGGCTCCGTGCTGAGCGTGGAGCCTGCTTGAGATTCTCTCTCTTTCCCTCTGCCCCCTCCCATGCTCACATACTCTCTCTCTCTCTCTCTCTCTCTCTCTCAAATAAAAAAGTAAGGGGCACCCGGGGGCTCAGTTGGTTGAGCGTCTGACTGTAGCCCAGGTCATGATCTCACAGTTTGTGAGTTCGAGCCCTGTGTCGGGCTCTGTGCTGACAGCTCGGAGCCTGGAGCCTGCTTCAGATTTTGTGTCTCCCTCTCTCTCTGCCCCATCCCCACTCATGCTCTGTCTCTGTCTGTCTTAAAAATAAATAAAATATTAAAAAAATAAATAAAAAATAAAAAAATAAAAAATAAAAAAATCTTTAAAGAAAATGAGAATCCAACATCATTAAGAGGTGGAGGGAGAGCTGCTTCATCCACTCCAAGAAAGTGCAGATAATTTGGGGGACAGTGGGAGTAAAGTTGCCTGAGTTTATGCCAGATGGCTGTATTTTCTCTGTGAAATAGGAGTTAAGGTCACTTCTGGAAGGGTAGATAAAGTGGGTCAGAGGCTTGAGAAGAGAAGGAAGTTTGGCGTAGGTGTTTCAGGACATGGAAAAGGGAGGCAATCAGAGTGGATTAGATCCCGACTCCAAGTTTCTAACCATTTTATCTGGGCAGGTGTCATCTGTGGGCATTCCTGTCTTGCTAATGCTCAGGTTGACGGCAAATCCAGGCAGAAACTCACCAGTATCTCCCTGTGTCTCTATATTTTCTCTCTTACAGTCAGGACAAGACGGGTCATCCCAGCGACCTACACCCACCCGCATTCCTATGTCAAAAGGTATGAAAGCAGGAAAGCCAGTAGTGGCAGCCCCAGGAGCAGGAAATCTGACCAAATTCGAGCCTCGAGCTGAGACTCAGTCTATGAAAATAGAGCTGAAGAAATCGGCAGCCGGCAGCGCTACCTCTCTTGGAGGGGGGAAGGGCTGAGGGCAGTGGCTGAGGGGGTATGTTGTGCAGATGCTACTGCTGCCGTGAAAACGGACCTTCGTCTGTTTGTGCCAACTCTCTACATGTACTAACAAGTTTTAAATATCTTGTTTATAAAATAATCGACTAATAGCCATGTGTGTTTCCTATTTTGTAAATTTGTTTTGATGCTAGAGAAAAGAACTAACCAGCAGAGCTACAGTTTGCTGTGTGCTTTGTTGAGGATGCTGGGCCTGAGGCAGGGCCTGACTTCTAGTCCCATTTTTGCTCTAGAAAGTGGACCCACCAGTTAATCCATCTGAACCTCAGTCTCTTTGTCAGTAAGATATGTGAGCTGGATCTCATCATCTCCAAAGACAGATCCCATATTTCCTAATTGTAAATCAGATTTAATAGGCCTATCTCCACATTAATTGATTTTTCAGATATTCTATTATGAAATAGGAAATAGTTTAACAATTGTCATTTGCCTCTATCAGATCCCAAGTTTGCTTCATGTGCTGGAAAAAACATCTCCTAGCTCTCACAGGGCCTGGACCTCTAAAGTTTTGCAAAACTAAAGCCTCTGGGATGATTTCAGGAAATAATTTGAATATGAAATAAAATGAAAATGAAATATGGAATCCTAAAAACAGAGTTTTACTTATTTGTGTGTGTCTGTGTGTACTAAAGAGGTTTTGGCCATCTCCAAAACATTCCCAGAATTTTAGAGATGATAATTTTAGAACCACTAATGTCAAACTCATGCTCTATTCAAGTGTGCAATTGATTTAAATTGTGGAGCAGTTTGAATAGAGCTGCCAAATGGCCCTTCTATCCATTACAACCTCAACAGAGGTTGTAATGGATAGAAAATAGAAGAAAGTAATTGTGATACACTAATGCCAAGAAAAAAAAATGACATCATGCACAGCTTAATTGAATTCAAATATTTTCCTCAGTTGAATGTGGACTTTACTTGCAAATGCAGAACCAGTTCATGATTGTGGTGTGTGTGTGTGTGGTGTGTGTGGTGTGATGAAATGAATTATTATTCCTGTCAGTTTTACTTATATTTGTATTATTTTCATTAATTTCAAGCATGTTTTAATAAGCATGAAACTGTGTGAATGCAAAATGCCAGGTGTCTTTGTGAGAGGATTAACCATGTTATTAAAGTGGACATTGTGCTTCCTGGTCAAATAACCACAAATGAGCTCAAGGCTAATAACCCGCAGCTTAGCATCTGAGGTCTCATGTAGGCAGCACCTTTGTCAAAATTTTTAAGCCAATTGAGTGAACTTTATAAAAATACAACAACTATAAAGTTACAGGTTGTTATTTTTCCACTTCTGAATTGTGAGGGTTCCAAAATTATTTGTATAGTCCCTGCTGTTGATATTTGGGGAAAGATAGATTTTTTAAAAAAAGATATTTGATTAGCTTTTATCATTAAATCATCATGCTTCATGATAAAGAGGCTGTTCTTTGAGTTCTTTCCATACCAATTTCCTATCTCTTGCAGAACTTGGACTTGAATTATATATGATGGTGGTAGATGCCTCACAGAATTCATACATTTTTTTTAATGTTTATTTATTTTGACAGAGAGAGAGCACAAGCAGGAGAGGAGCAGAGAGAAAGAGAGGGAGAGAGAGAGAGAGAGAGAGAATCTACACTGTCACCACAGAGCCCAACATGGGGCTTGATCCCACAACCCTGGATCATGACCAGAGCCAAAATCAAGAGTCGGATGCGTAACTGACTAAGCCACCCAGGTGCCCCATATTCTTTTTAATCAGGTATCTTATTGCCTGTGGCTTATCAGTTCTCAGCATATGTATTAAAAGATGTTGAGTAACCATGCTAACATGCCATAATAATGGGATTTCAAGGTAGCAGGAGAGAGACTGAGAAAAATGATTTTATAAAATGTGATTTTGAGGGGCACCTGGGCGGCTCAGTTGGTTAACGGTCTGACTCTTGATATTTGCTCAGGTTATGATCTCATGGTTCCTGAGACCCAGCCCCTGGTGGCCTCCACACTGACAGCACAGTGTGGAGCTTGCTTGGGATGATTCTCTCTCTACTTCTCTCTCTCTGCCCCTCTCCTGCTTGCACACTCAAGCCTTCTTTCTCTTCAAAGTAAATAAATAAACTTTAAAAAATGTGACTTTTGGGGGGCGCCTGGGTGGCTCAGTCGGTTAAGCGTCCGACTTCGGCTCAGGTCATGAACTCGCGGTTTGTGAGTTCGAGTCCCGCGTCGGGCTCTGTGCTGATAGTTCAGAGCCTAAAGCCTGCCTCAGATTCTTTGTCTCCCTCTTTCTCTGCCCCTCCCCCACTCATGCTCTGTCTCTCTCTGTCTCAGAAATAAACAAACATTAACAAAAATTTTTTAACGTAATTTTTAACAAGATATCTTTCCATTTCCAATACTGACTTGTATTTTCTTAAAAGGAAAATTTTCCCTTTTATAAAGTGCACAACCACCCCTTTGAGGAAAGAAAAAAAGGATATTCACTCTTTTGAAATGCTTCTTTGGCATTTAGGATATTTAGTGTTACTGTGAACAAATGGTGTCAAAAATGAAAACTGAGACATTATATTACTTCTGACTCTACCTGTCATTCTCCAATGACTTTTATTATAATCTATTGTCACCGATGCTGTTTTTTGCTTTTACCCACTCATACCATGCTTATTTCATTCCTGCCTGGAAGTCCATACCTGCCATCTGCAGGGAGAGTGCCCTGAAAGGCTTAGCAGTGCATGTACAGGATGTTTATACATCTGGATGCTGGAATAGAGGCATCTACAAAGTACAACTGCTAGGAAAACTTGGCAGAACAGCACATTCACTTTTAAGAAATGGTAAAGAGCAGCCATGGCAGTGTTTCTTCGTAATTTTATTTTATTTATTTATTTTTTTAATGTTTACTTATTTTTGAGAGAGAGAGAGAGGAGGGGCAGAGAGAGAGAGAGAGAGACAGGGAGACACAGAATCCGAAGCAGGCTCCAGGAGCCTGACGTGGGGCTTGAACTCACAAACCATGAGACCATGACCTGAGCCGAAGTCAGACGCTTAACCGACTGAGTCACCCAGGCGCCCCTATTTTAGAACCAATTCTACATTTATTGGATAGCTTT